GAGTCATGAAGGGGCCATAGTTCCCCCATGCTGGCTGAGGAATCCTGGGAGTTGAAGTCCGCGAGTCATGAAGGGGCCAAAGTTCCCCCATGCTGGCTGAGGAATCCTGGGAGTTGAAGTCCGCGAGTCATGAAGGGGCCAAAGTCCCCCCATGCTGGCTGAGGAATCCTGGGAGTTGAAGTCCGGAGTCATGAAGGGGCCATAGTTCCCCCATGCTGGCTGAGGAATCCTGGGAATTGAAGTCCGTGAGTCATGAAGGGGCCATAGTTTCTCCATGCTGGCTGAGGAATCCTGGGAGTTGAAGTCCATAAGTCATAAAAGGGCCAAGTTTGAAGACCCCTGGTCTAGTGGTGGCCTAGAAACCAAGCAACTGTGAGTTCTAGTCCTGCTGAACAACAACTTATTGGGGCCGGCCTAACCTCATCTCTGCAACAGCAAGGACTCCAAATGAAATATGAGATACATCCAGCAAGTCTCTTGGCAGCCACTCCAAACAAGACGAAAACCTCCATGGAGTCTCTCACAGCTGAGCTGCAAACACACTCAACAAGCACTCCCACAGTTCCCACATGTAAACAAACAACAACTCCAAGCAATATTTGGAGCAAAGCTTGCGTGCTTTCGATCACTGGACGGCGGTTATGTCTGCTGCCCGGGTTTTTCCACCGTGTGACCCCCATGGAAGGAACAGGCTCCAGTTATTTGTGTGCTTATACAGTATTTTCTTGGTGCAACAAAAAAAAAAAAAAAGAGGGACGGGGGGGAACGCTTATTTCCAAAATACTATACCAGGTAGTCCTTGACTTACGACCACAATCGAGCCCGATGTTTCTGCTGTGAAAAGTGAGACGTTTGTTAAGCGAGTTTTCAACCCATTTCACGACCATGGGGATGCTGCAGCGGTTGTTAAGTGTGAAAAGTCTATGGAGATTCTGAAGAAGCTTCCTGTTATAAGAAGCGAAACATCTTCAGAGAAAAACAAGGAAGTCCAGTTGCCTCGGGGAAAAAGCACCTTCGGGATAAAGGGCGAAAACTGGTCGCATTTTTCGGTGCCACTGTAACTTTGAACGGTCACTAAATGAACTATTGTAAGTCGAGGACTACCTAAAGTCACTTTTTTTAATATAAATTTTATTAGTTTTTATAGGGTTAGGGATAAAATGGGCTCAGGATTAGGATTGAGGTTAGGGTTAAGGTTGGGTAACATTTTCAATATTTAACAAACAGCATATTGTTTGGGTACATATGTTTAAGTAACAACAATAGATACAGTTAATTATCATATACAGTATTAATTAATCACTCTGTAGCCTTCTTCTTACTGATATATATTCAAAATTACATATCACATTCCTTTCTCTCTGACTCATTTTTCCAGCCACTGGTAAAAGTTATCCCATGTTCTAAAGTTGACTGAGTCTCCTTTCTCTTTAATCTCTAAAGTCAATCTATCCATTTCTGCCCACTCTAGAATTTTCTTAATTAGTACTTCTTCAGTTGGTAAGTTTTCATTTTTCCAATATTGGGCAAATACCTGAAGCTACTTCTAATGTGACTTTGAATTTTGAAATCTCCAAAAAAGAAAAATTGACTGGGCTTAATAGTTCTCCCAGCGTGGCTTACTACTCTGTTTTATCTTCTTCCCACAAAGGTTCGTATGTGAAAATTAGTGATGTCTAGGGCAGGGGGTCTTCAAACTTGGCAACTTTTAAGACTTGTGGACTTTGACTCCCAGAATCCCTGAGTAAGCTCTGAGAGTTGAAGTCCACCAGTCTTAAAAGTTGCCAAGTTTGAAGACCCCTGGTCTGGGGGGGGGGAATGGCTGGGGCAGGGGAAATGGGAGAAAGCAAAAGAAAGGACTCATATCATTACCTGAAAAGCCTTAAGACACAACCATCAGCACAGGCCCCTTGTTGTCATTCACGCATAACAAGGCGAGAACAGCCCAGATAAGGCGGTTTAGACCAGGAGGAAGGAAGCTTATCAAGATCCAAATCTGGCTCTTGGTTCTATTTCCATGCGTCCTTTCGGTTTATAAAACAGCATCTTTCACTCAGGTTGAAAGGCAAACTTAAGTGGCTGGGTGTTTGTTTGTTTTTTTAAGCCACAACTGCTAAGTACTAATAGATACCATTTTATCTCCTTTATGTCTCTTGCTTGCCCTGAAGGTGGTACTTTGACAAATCACAACAAAAGCTATGCAAAAGAGGGAGATTAGAAATCAGGGCTGGTTCAAGCAGGAATCTCTTCTGAAACTTTGGCTTCGGGGCAAACTTTTTCCAAATTTGGGGAGGTTTCCCTGGCATTTCAGTTGCCCTAGGCCAGGGGTAGGCAACTTTGGCTCTTTTATGACTGGTGGACTTCAACTCCCAGAATTCCTGAGCCAGCCATGCTGAGGGGAAAGGGAGAGGTTTCCAAGCTGAGCCATGCTGGCTGAGGGATTCTGGGAGTTGAAGTCCACGAGTCATAAAAGAGCCAAGGTTGCCTATCCCTGACCTAGATGATAGATAGATAGATAGATAGATAGATAGATAGATAGATAGATAGATAGATAGATAGATAGACAGACAGACAGACAGACAGACAGACGATAAATACACCTAGATCAGGGGTAGGCAACCTTAGCTCTTTTATGACTCGTGGACTTCAACTCCCAGAATTCCTGAGCCAGCCATGCTGAGGGGACAGGGAGAGGTTTCCAAGCTGAACCATGCTGGCTCAGGAATTCTGGGAGTTGAAGTCCACCAGTCATAAAAGAGCCAAGGTTGCCTACCCCCACCCTTGGCCTCTTTCCCCTCCCTCCAACAAAATATTGTGGACCCGACTGATATTAATAGATGTGTGTTCTTTTTTTTAATAGTACAGAAAATCTAGCCACTGCCAACACATCAGTCTTATGAGTTATGCGATGTCTGCTTGGTCCTTTTCAAATATTAAATATGAGAGGCCTGCACAAAACAGAAAAAAAATGGGGGAGAATCTGACAAATCATTTTCAGATATTGACGGTTCGACAGAAATGAAAAGAAACACTGGCGGCTGTTTCTGGATTTCAGATAAGACAAAATAAAAACCCAGACAGGAACAAGTAAGCTTGCTTGGCTCTTCTCTGCCTTGTACAATTCCCAAGGCAGCCTAATCGGACATCCGGCCTGCTCCCATTTTTCTTCCCGTTAGTAGCTGCAGCTGAGACTGTCGTAACACATCCCTCTGACCACATCCACGCTCTTTTTCTCTCTCTTTTCTCTCAGTGACAGGTGTTCCTCTTGTTTCCTGAATTTAAACTGCCTGGCACGAGTAACCCTGTTTTGTTTGGTGCATAGGACTGTGGGAAGTCAGCTCCCCAGAGAAGGAAATATTAAAAGGGCAGGAAAATATATTTCCTCAAAAGATCTTAAAGAGGCAGAAAAGCAGGCCCAGTTTTTCTTTAATAGCCCCCAGGCCTCCCTCCCCTGAGCAGAAACCAGCTCTATAGAAATGTAGATATAAACCATCCAGGAAGGTTGGAAGCCCCCAACTAGAAGCTTAGGAAAACAAAGACTCCTAAAATCTACATACCCCACCCAAACTCTAAGACAGGACATAATAGGATTAACACACAGATGCCAAAGGGCACACTCAGATTCAGGTCAAAGTTCATGCCACAGGATCAACTCTCCAAACAAAAGGCTCCAGAGGGTATAAAAACCCACTCCCTACATGTGCTCTCTCTCTTTTCTTCCAGAGCCATCTTTCTGTCTGGCTCTCCTCTTCAATAAACTGCAACCTTCTTCCTAAAGCAGTCGCCATGTTTATTCCCAGCTTGGACTGAACCACAATGAAGACTTTTCTTTCAACAGGACAAAACTGCTCATCTGACTCACAGAACAAAATGGACCCCGTTTCATTCAGAAACAGAACGCCTAAAACACGCACGTTTCAATTCAGGCAGAGAGTAAACCAAAATTAGTGCTTCCGGGAGCAGAATAGTTTTATGCATTTTTCACATGTGGGGTCCCAGGTGCTCTCTGAGCTTGGTGGTTTTCTTGTAGGTGGTTCATTACCCAAACGAGGTTAACATCATTTGTGCTAAAAAGGAGTGGGGTTTTGGTCTTTTGTTTATATATATAGTTGGTTTGCTCTCTTAGGCTGAAATCAAGGAACTAGAAAGAAGAAAACAACACTCCACAAACACTGACAGAGCAAGCCACTAGACTAGTATATAAAAAGATAATAATCCTCATTCCTTTTCTAGCACCGATAATGTTACCTAGTTGGGTCATGAAACGTCTGCAAACAAACAAACTCAGAGAGCACCAAAGACCCCACAGTTGCTGTCCTCCTCCACTTCACAAACCCCATTCCCTTCCAGCACTGATGATGTTACTTAACGTGGTAATGAAATATCTGCAAGAAAACCACCAAGCTCAGAGAGCATCAAGGAACCCACAATCCCCCCCTCCTCCTCCCTCTTCTCCTGCTTCCCTTTTCCACTTCCTTTTTTCCCCCCTACACTTCCCAAATCCCACATTCCCTTCTAGCACTGATGTTGTTACCTAGTACAGTAATGAAACATCTGAAAGAATCAAGCTCAGAGAGCATCAAGGACCCCATAATCACCCTCCTCCTCCCTCTTCTCCTGCTCCTTTTCCCCTTCCTCCGCTTTCCCCTCTACTCCCCCAAACCCCACATTCCCTTCTAGCACTGATGATGTTACCTAGCACGGTAATGAAACGTCTGCAAGAAAAGAACCAAGCTCAGAGAGCATCAAGGACCCCACAATCATCCTCCTCCTCCTCCCTCTTCTCCTGCTCCTTTTCCCCTTCCTCCACTTTCCCCTCCACTCCCCAAACCCCACATTCCCTTCCAGCACTGATGATGTTACCTAGCACGGTAATGAAACGTCTGCAAGAAAACCACCCAGCTCAAGAGACCACCCAGGAGCCCACAGTTTCAACCCTATTCTCTTCTACCGGTTACATTTTTCACACACCCGTTAAACGTCCCTCTTCATACGCTCACCATGACTTGGGCTCTCCAAAATGCAGGTAGTTGATGCTGTAGAGATCCATGTCCTCCGTGTGCCAGGCAAACGTGGTCTTCCACATCCCAAAGTAGAGGTAGGGGGTGTTCACGCCTTCTATGATAATCCCACACTGATGCTCCACCATGTCAAGGAGAGTGTTCAGGTTCCCAATGTTCCACTCTTCCACATCCTGGGGGTGAAAATAAAGGCAGGTGTCAAAGGAGGAGCCGGCACTCCTTCCATTCCCGCACGGAAAGGGGCCGCCGGCGGTCACTTTTCACAGGCAGCGTCCGAAGGAAAAAACCTCTGGCAGGAGCAGCTATTCCAAAGAGCAGGATACAAGACGCGTAACGGCCCTCTGAGCGGTCCTGAGAAGAAAACAGGCTAAGACACGCTCTATTACACGGGCTCCCGCCGGCTGTCTAAAACCTGTTTGCCACAACTTTTAAGATTCGGTTCACAGGTGGAGCCAAAATGAAAGGGCTTTTCTAAAAATGACGTGGAGAAATCAGTACAAGAGGGAGCAAAGAGAGAGAAAGACTCTGACTGAAAGCCAGCCCAGCGCAGTTTACGCCAACTGAGCCCAACATTTCTGTGGCTAAGAGAAACATTTGTTAAGTGAGTTTTGACCCATTTTACGAATTTTCTTAATAATAATAATAATAATACTAGTAGTAGTAGTAGTAGTAGTAGTAGTAGTAGTAGTAGTAGTAATAGGCTCCTTGGGTGCAATCCCAAAACAACTGGAGCACCACTTGAACACCATTGGCATTGACAAATTCGCTATTAGTCAATTGCAAAAGGCAGCCTTACTAGGAACTGCTTCCATCCTGCGACGATATCTGTAATACCATCGAACATCCACATCTGCCTATCCCAGGTCCTGGGTAAGGACTCGATAGGTAGACAAAATGCCAAATCCAGTCTGAACATCTGGCTGACTGTGCGATGATCCATCATTATCATCATCATCATCATAATTGGAAGGGACCTTGGAGGTCATCAAGTCCAACCCCCTACTCAGGCAGGAAACCCTATACCCTTTCAGACAAATGTCTGCCCAGTTTCTTCTTAAAAGCTTCCAGTGTTGGAGCATTCACCGCTTCTGGAGGCAGGTGGTTCCACTGGTTAATTGTTCTGTCAGGAAGTTTCTCCTTAGTTCCAGGTTGCTTCTCTCCTTGGTCAGTTTCCATCCATTGCTTCTTCTTCTGCCTTCAGGCGCTTTGGAGAATAGCTTGACTCCCTCTTCTTTGGGGCACCCCTTAGATACTGGAACACTGCTAAGTTCTTCCTTAAAAGGCCCTGTCCATGTAATCCCTACAAATCTAAAATCAGTTTCAGAGCCGTTTACAGGTAGTCCTCGACTTATAGCTATTGATTTAACATCTGTTCAAAGTTACACTAGCATTGAAAAAGTGGCTTATGACTGGTCCTCGCTTTTATGGCGGTCACACAATCAAACTTTGGGCACTTGGCAACCAGCATGTATTTACAATAGTTGCAGCGTCCCAGAGTCACCTGATTGCCATTTGGGACCTTCCCAGCTGGCTTCCGACAAGCAAAGTCAGTGGGGAAAGCTGGATTCGCTTAACGACCGCAGGCAAGAAAGGTCATAAAATCGGCTGTGACTCGACCACAACTTTGCTTAGCAGTGGAAATTCTGGTTCAAATTGTGCCTATAAGTTGAGGACTCTTTGCTACTTCCAAACAAGTAACCCCACAGCCCCAATTTTGTTGGAAGAAATTATACCGGGGGTCTTCAAACTTGGCCCTTTTATGACTTGTGGACTTCAACTCCCAGAATTCCTCAGCCAGGCACGCTGGCTGAGGAATTCTGGGAGTTGAAGTCCACAAGTCATAAAAGGGCCAAGTTTGAAGACCTCTGAATTAGAAAGGGCTGACTCATGTATGAGGCTACACTGATTGGTTGCTGTGGGTATGAAGGGGGTGTTTCCCTTTTCCCCCGCCTTTTATCCTCTGTGTGTTCTGTACACTATTTGATTTACCTCAGGATATTCCTATGTGCCCGACTATCTTGTGTTTTTCCTTTCTGGATGATGATAAAAATGTAAACTTAAATGTGCCTGGCTGAGGAATTCTGGGAGTTGAAGTCATAAAACGAAGTCATAAAACGGCCAAGTTTGAAGAGCCCTGAATTATACATACTGACAGCAGTAGTCCTCAACACTCCCGTTACTTTATTAATTCCCCCTGGGGTTCTCCTAGAATTTAACCTGTTCTAACGTTGTCTAAATCTGCATCGTACACACGCTCTCATCTGACTTACCGCATCATACAAGGAGCCACTGATATCCGCCCCGTATATAGGGGACACAAAAGTCAAATTCTTCCAGTATTTGCGTTCCAGATCATCAAAATCCTGATGACGAGGAGTACAGTACCTGGTCAGGAAAAATAAAATTAAGACAACTGGCAATAAATCTTTGTAAAGCAGAGTTTCCCCCTCTGATGCCCTACTAAAGGTAGGACAATTTAGTCAGTTCACTCTGAACAGAGAAAAAACGCCGCTTTTTCAACTCTATTCTACAAAAATGATGCTGACGAATAGTCAATAAGAGCAGTGGAGAAGGCAATGCGGAAGCAGCTCAACACGACACATGTGCCTCTCTCTCTCTCCATCCATGCAACTATCATCTATTATCTTATGTATCTGTCTGTCCATCTGTCTGTCTGTCTATGTCTATCTATTATTGTTCTATCGTCTATCTACTCTATCTATCTCTATCATCTATCTATCTATCTATCTATCTATCTATCTATCTATCTATCTATCATTTATATCTGTCTATCTGTCTATCGTTCTATTGTCTATCTACTGTATCTATCTATCTATCTATTATCTTTCTAACATTCTATCGTCTATCTACTGTATCTATCTATCTATCTATCTCTATCATCTAGGTCTATATCATCTATCTATCTCTATCATCTAGGTCTATCTATCATCTATCTATCTATATCTATCATCTAGGTCTCTCTCTCTCTCTCTCTCTCTCTCTCTCTCTCTCTATCTATCTATCTATCTATCTATCTATCTATCTATCTATATATATATATATATATATATATATATATATATATATGTCTCTATCTATGTATCATTTATTTATATACCTCTATCTATCTATCTATCTATCTATCTATCTATCTATCAATGTATCATTTATTTATATCTATCTGTATCTGTCTGTCTATCTATCTATCTATCTATCTATCTATCTATCTATCTATCTATCTATCTATCTATATCATCCACTGTATCTATCATCCACTCTGTCTATCATCTATCTGTCTGTCTGTATACTTTTACTGCAAAAAGACAAAAAAGAATCCCCAGGCCTTGTTTAATTATAAGCCAGGACAGTCTTAAACCAAGGACGTACTTCTCACTATTAGCCAAGCGACGATAGTCTCCAACCAGCATGGGTTTCTTCTGAATGTTGTACTGGGTGAAAAGCCCGGACTGGCCAGTCACCACCTGCTGAATGGGAGCAGGGATCACCATGCTGTCGATGTCGTCGTAAGTCTTGCGGGGCTTCCATTCCTTGGGAGGGATCACCTGCAAAGTCGGGGGAGAATTTTTTCTTGAATGGATCACGTTTCATGGGAACAAACGACTCTTCCCTTCTGAATAAAAGAACAACAACTATTTACATCTCCTTGAATTCCTGTTTCTAGCACCCAAGTGCATTTTACTCTAGATTCTTAACCAAAAACTCAATTTGTTTCAGAAATAAGATCTCTTTGGAATCTGCGATATTGCCTCCAGTGTTTGGGTTGGGCTTTTGAATGCATTTGCTGCCTTCTTCCTCTTATAATCTGTGTTCCTAATTTTATTCATGTCTTAAAATGTCTAACTATCTTAACAGAATTGAAGGAAGGAAGGGAGGGAGGGAGGGAGGACCTAACTTATATTGATCTGACAGAACCTTGTCAGTATTTTACACTACTAGATAACTGTTAATTACCTATAAGCAATTGTGTCTAATATACCTGTTTGAATATGATCGATAAAAGATCCTATATTCTTTCCTCTTAACTATACAGAATTGGAGCTATTGTTCCAAATGAAATAGAATGAAGGTGTTGACTTTTACTGACACAATTTATTTTATAGATGGCTGATCCAGCCTAATACCCATGTCACTGCTATGATTCAGAAGGCATGTTCTCCAGGCATTACTGACTAAAAATGTATGATTCCCTCAAGTAGACTGAATTAACTATGCTAAACCTAGAAGTAAGGAGAAATTTCCTGACAGTGAGAACAATTAATCAGTGGAACTACCTGCCTCCAGAAGGGCTGAATGCTCCAACACTGGAAGTCTTTAAGAAGAGACTTGGCAACTGACTCATATTTATGACAGTTGTACTGTCCCGGGGGAATCACGTGATCCCCTTTTGTGACCTTCTGACAAGCAAAATCAATGGGGAAGCCAGATTCCCTTCACAACCGTGCTACTAACTTAACAACTGTGGCAAGAAGGTTATAAAACGGGGTAAAATTCACTTAACAGCTGTCTTGCTTAACAAAATAAATTCTGGGGCTCAATTGTGGTTGTAAGTTGAGGACTACGTGTAGCATGAATTCCAGGGATTTTTTTCCTATTCCTATTTTCTACTCACCTACAAGACTGGCATAAATACTCTCTCTGCAGGAAAGAGAATTCTTGTTCTCCCCCCCCCCAAAATTTTTTTTTAGTGGCAGTAAAAGCCCCAGAAGGTTTGACTGCATCTGCTGCCTAAAACTGTCTGGGAGCTGCTGTTACTACTGCTACTACAGCTAATAATAATAATAATAATAATAATAATAATAATAATAATAATAGTAGTAGTAGTAGTAGTAGTAGTAGTAGTAGGAACTGCTTCCATCCTGCGACGATATCTGTAATACCATCAAACATCCACATCTGCCTATCCCAGGTCCTGGGTAAGGACTCAATAGGTAGACAAAATGCCAAATCCAGTCTGAACATCTGGCTGACTGTGCGATGATCCATAATAATAATAATAATAATAATAATAATAATAATAATAATAATAATAATAATAATAATAATAATAATAATAGTTGTAAGGGACCTTGGAGATCATCTAGTTCACCCCCCTGCTCAGGCAGGAAACCCTATACCAGGGGTAGGCAACCTTGGCTCTTTTATGACTTCAACTCCCAGAATTCCTGAGCCAGCATGGCTCAGCTCTGGAAATTCTGGGAGTTGAAGTCTCTAAAAGAGACCCGCCTTTCCCCTGAGCCGGGGGTTGGACTAGTGACCTGGTCTGTTTTAGTATTATTAGTATTATTATTACTTGTGGACTTCAACTCCCAGAATTCCTGAGCCAGCATGGCTCAGCTTGGAAACCTCTCCCTTTCCCCTCAGTGTGGCTGGCTGAGGAATTCTGGGAGTTGAAGTCCACAAGTCATAAAAGAGCCAAGGTTGCCTACCCCTGGTCAAGGACTATCTTGATACCCTCAAACAGACTTTTTTTTTTTTTTGCAAGAAAATTCACAACATAGATCCCCACCAGATACTTAAAACTGACAATGGCAGTTTAGTAGGAGACATAATTGTCTATATTTTAATGCGCAGGCCTGACTGAATAATTCAAATTGCCTCCTGACAGCTTTGAGGGGTTTGTGCACATCAAGACTGGATCACGGAAGCATTTACAGCTTTTAAAGTTGGTTTCGGGCTAGCTAAGGTTAACTTCCTAGATCACTCAGTGGAACCCACAGCACACTCACCTTAGCAAGCCCTGCCCGGTGAGCACCTTGGGATTCGATGTAAGCGATGTACTTTCCAAAATCCTGGAATTCTTCTAGCGTCGGATGGAACGTCATAATTTTACAGCTGGGATTTTGCGGGCTTGGGTTTTCTGACCCCATATTGGTGGTTTGGAACCTATGCTGCAAAAAAGAGACAGAAAGGAAGAGAAAGGAGGAAGGGAAGAACAAACATTAAAATCTACCATTAATCTCTGATCAATAAAGGCTAGGACATTTTGAGTACTGTTGGGAGTGTGGTGGCTTGGGAGATTAGAACGCTAGGCTGACAATTGGCAGGCGTTTGAGACCTGTTGCTGCCGCTGTGTGTGTGTGTGTGTGTGTGTGTGTGTGTGTGTGTGTGTGTGTAAACTCCTGTCCCATACTCCAGCTCCTGCCAACCCAGCAGATTGAAAGCAGGCGACCGTGAGTAGATTAATGGGTACCACTTCAGTGGGCAACTTCAAGGAGACACAAAAGGAGCCCCCCAACTGGACAACAGTGATATCCCCAACAAATCCTTTCGCTGTGGAAGCATTTTAGTGCCTCCGACCCCCCAAAAAGTACTGTTAAGACCGAGGTCCACCTTAACTGGATAACTTTTATTTTAGTACCACCAGTATTTCTATGCCCAATTAGTATAATCGTGCTGTAAAAATCACATTGATCGTCACAAAAATCATAATCGCTGCTGAAGAAATACCCAATTTACACTTTTAGCATATGGTTCTTAACAGACTAATAAGTTATTTTTTTAAAAAAAACCCTCTATTTATTTATATTTGTTTCGTATCAAATTTAGAGACTGCCCATCTCACTCGCCGAGAGGCTCTGGACTGTGTATGATTTAAAAAAAAAAGAGTTATACAAGCAGAAAACTTCTCGTTATAAGGGAATGTCAAAAACTCGGTGTGCCTTTTGGTTCGATATTACGTTTCGAAGGAACTAAACCAGTTGTTCCTAACAAGGCACATAACTGTTAGAAACTCTGGCAGGGTGTAATCCCAAAGAGTTGAAGGCCACAATATTAGAGTGGGCTTGCTCTAAAGACCAATAGAAGCTCCTTTTCTAAAACAATTAAAAGCATAGAAGCTTACTATACTAAGCAATTGGTAAAAGTTCATACTGTAGTAAGCCAGGAATTCTCCAGCTGTGGGTTACAAGCCTCCTGGGACTGTTGGCAAATCTGGGGGAGGTTTGTGCACACAGAATGGGATCTCTGAAAAATGTGCTCCTACCATTATTCATACAGAAGCTTGACAACAGAGCTGGAATTTTCTATATCGGAAGTTCTAAGCCTGTGGTCTGCAGACAATTGGGGGGGGGGGGGGAAGCGCAATGTCCTCACGGTGAAGGCTTGAAAAAAAATGTTATGATTTGAGTCTTGAGTTAAATCTTGGGAGTCTGTGGCCATGTTCTGTATTTTTTTTTTTATTTTAAATTTTTATTTTTAACCAACAAGACAAAACAGAACAAAGCAAAACATAACACACATACACATACAATATATACTCCTTTTTTTTACAGCAATTACGTAACGGTAATCTAATATTTACATTTCCCCCTTATTCTTCTTTAAATATTTGTCCTTATAGCCCCATTATTTCTTATTTACATTTTTCTTCCTTCATGTTCTACTTCTTACTAAGAATAATTCATATTATTATTACTATAATACATTATTATACACATATTTTTACTTTTGACCGTTCCATATTTATTCTCCTCTATTATTACTAGTCTCCAACCAGACATACACCTTGTTCCATACTATATAATACTCTGTGTCTTCCTTTTCTTTTATCTCTTTGGCACAAAAGGTATTTAAAGGGGGTCCACAGTGAAGAAAAGGTTGAGAACCATGGCTCCATATTGTAGTTGCTGTTATATAAAAAAACTTTTGACCCAAAAAATGGAGCAAAAAATATGAGTGGTTTCAGGCATTATACACATGTAGGCACGTTCGTCCTACCTATTAAAAATACTATTAATCGTTTTTATCATTTTACTGATAAGCATAAGATTTAATCATTGCAAAATGGCATATTTGAGCCGTAGTGATGCAGTGGTTAGAATGCAGCATTGCAGGCTGACTCTGCTCCCTGCCAGGCGTTCGATCCTGACCGGCTCAAGGTAAATTCAGCCTTCCGTTCTTCCAAGGTCGGTAAAATGAGGACCCAGATTGTTGGGGGGGGGGCAATAGGCTGACTTTGTAAACCACTTAGAGAGGGCGGCAAAGCACTCTGAAGCAGCATATAAGTCTAAGTCAGGGGTAGGCAACCTTGGCTCTTTTATGACTCGTGGACTTCAACTCCCAGAATTCCTAAGCCAGCACGGCTCAGCTTGGAAACCTCTCCCTTTCCCCTCAGCGTGGCTGGCTCAGGAATTCTGGGAGTTGAAGTCCACAGAGTCATAAAAGAGCCAAGGTTGCCTACCCCTGGTCTAAGTGCTATTGCTAATTATTCACCATTCGTTTTATTGGAGAGTGTTGTAAGAAATTCATTTGTCATACTCGCAGCACAAAAAAAAATGGCGATCTGTTTGAGTTACTGGGACTGTAAGCCCAGCCATTCTGGTTTATTCACCAATAACATTTATTTTAAGTAAAGTCAACACTGAATTCTTTCCAAATTTACAGACCTTGGATACTTCTGCCACCCTTTCGTATCCTCAGAATGATGAAATATAGTGGAAAAAAAATATTTAGTATGTTTAGAAGCAAAAGCTTGCCATTCTGGGACAGGCTTACCTATCTGTTGGGCAGAAGAGCAACAGAATCTGCAAATTCCAACAGATAAGTAGCTGCGAGAGAAGCAAGGAGGGAAACAAAATAAGATAATAAATGACAGCTTTAATCATTTGCCAAGGTTCAAAAAACAAAGAAATCAAATTATATGAGGAAGGGAAGTGTCAGGACTTTAAATTAATTTTACTCTACAGGTAGTTGACTCTAAGCCCAACATTTTTGTTGCTAAGTGAGACAGTCAGTAAGTGAATTTTGGCCCATTTTGTGATCTTTCTTAATAATAATAATAAAGTTGGAAGGTACCTTGGAGGTCATCAAGTCCAACCCCCCTGCTCAGGCAGGTAACCCTATACCATTTCGGACAAATGGCTGTCCAGTTTCTTCTTAAAAACTTCTAGTGTTGGAGCATTCGCCACTTCTGGAGGCAGGTTGTTCCACTGGTTAATTGTTCTCACTGTCAGGAAGTTTCTCCTTAGTTCTAGGTTGCTTCTCTCTTTCGTTAGTTTCCATCCGTTGCTTCTTCTTGTCGTGCCTTCAGGCGCTTTGGAGAATAGCTTGACTCCCTCTTCTTTGTGGCAGCCCCTGAGATACTGGAACACTGCTATCATGTCCCCCCTCGTCCTTCTCTTCATTAAACTAGACATACCCAATTCCAGCAACCGTTCCTTATATGTTTTTTCCTCTTCTCTGTACTCTTTCTAGAGTCTCAATATCTTTTTTACATAGTGGTGACCAAAACTGGATGCAGTATTCCTGAAGTGAATCAATGTAGCTGTTAACCACTGCACAGTGGCTAAATAAATCTCTCTTCCCCATTGATGTTGATTGTCAGAAGGTCACAAAAAGGGATCGCATGATCCCGGGATACTGCAATCTTCCTAAATAGGAGTCACTTGACAAGTGACTGAATTTTGATTACGTGACCACGGCGAGGCTGCAAAAGTTGTAAATGTGAAAAACGGTCGTAAGTCACTTTTTTCAGCGACGTCGTAATTTTGAACGGTAACTAAATGAATGTAAAAGTGTAAGTTGGACCATAAGAAAGGCTGAACGCCAAAGAATGGAGGCCTTTGAACTCTGGTGCTGGAGAAGACTCCTGCAAGTCCCCTGGACTGCAAGGCGATCAAACCGATCAGTCCTAGAGGAGATCAACCCTGACTGCTCTTTAGAAGGCCAGATCCTGAAGTTGAAACTCAAATACTTTGGCCACCTAATGAGAAGGAAGGGGGGGGGGAGAGAAAGAGAGGATGGAGTGTCTGTGACACTCGCACGAGTGAAGCCCCAAGCGCCTGGGAGATGGAAGCCTGGAGCGCCCGTGATGCTCGTGCGAGTGAAGCCACGAGTGTTCGCGACCAAGGCTGTGCACGTGCGCATACTCGCGCACCAGCTGGCCACTCATGTGGCCCAATTGGAAATAGGCCATGGCCAGGTAGTGGGTCACGGCCCACAGGATGGGGACCCCTTGGTTTAAATGACAAGGAAGCCAGAAAATTTCCTAATGGTAAGAGCAGTTTAGCCACTTAACAGACTGCAAGGTATTACAGTAATGGTTGGATGTGTCTTTTATACATATCATGAAAACAATACAGAAGTTTCCCACTATAAAAATCAAATGAGTTCCTATTTGTAATTATAGGTTGATCGCCAGCAGGAAAAAGGAGGTCCTAATCCCGCTGTAAGATAAGATAAGCTTTATTGTCATTTTTTTTACTGTGGGCACAACGGCACACATCAAAAATGAAATTTAGTTGCCCGCTCTCTAAATGAAACACATACATGACACACACCAAAAACATACTATATACAACATATATATAGACTACACCCCTACATATACATAGCAAATAAATATTAAACGCTGTCCATCTTGAATATATAATGGAAGGAGGAAGCTTGAGAGTTCACAAGGTTAATGCTGTATGGAATGAAACTATGGCTGAATCTGGATGTTCTGCTTTGGATACCACGAAGCCCCCTCCTCCCAGACGTTAACAAGGAAAACAGGTCGTGAAGAGGATGGTAGTGTCCCAGACAATCTTGCGGACCCTCCTCAAGCAACGCTTCTGTGCTATGTCCTGGATCAGCGGTTCTCAACCTGTGGGTCGCGACCCCATTTGGGGTCGAATGACCATTTCACGGGGATCGCCAAACAACGCGATCCGCCATTTTTTCCCCCTTTTCCTTAGCTGTGCTACTCCCTTTTATTCTATTGGCTTTTGAAAGCCAATAGAATAGACTCTCTTGAATAGAGTCTAATTCTATTGGCTTTCAAAAGCCAATAGGAATTGTCCAGGGCTGTCTCTGCCCTGCTGAGCCCGCCAAAAGCCCCAGTCTGCAAACGGTGCTGCAAGGGGGACAGTCTGCAGAGCTTCCCTCCCTGTTGAGCAACTAAAAAGTA